GCACGGATTCTGGAAATGTGCTCGGTATTTGGCAATAGGCTCACCTCCTATTACATGGGACTCATAACATAAATAGTGAAAAGTGGGTGTTATAGTGGCATTACGTGCCTTAATGTGCACTTTAACTTTCGCACACAATCGTTATTAAAAGAAAATTCAATTAATGTCATGTCTATTCGTACTAAGTCTATGGTGAAGGGGGAAGCGAGGTTGAAAATTTATTTAATGATGACCAACCGTCGGGATTTTTGCTATAATATGAAGATATTTCGGTTAAATTGTGTCGGCATTCTACCGGTATATTGAGTCTTAATATAAGATAACACAAAAAGTCCAAGATAGAAGACAAAAAGTCCCGAATATCTGAATTCTCCACAATCCTCAAATTCCCAATTCCCAAAAGACCGGTAACGCACTTGTACCGCCTTGGTGTTTTGAGTGTCCATGGGCGACGCCGATTGCATACCATCAGGTGATCCGTCTGCTCGTTTATCGGCATATACTATAAAAAAAATTATTGTGTAATATCTCTACACTACTCAATAGATCACTATAGCTCGAATACTGAATGGCTACTCAATTTTAAATTGTATACAAATATCGTGCCATCTCTGTCATTTTATATAGACTTTGTAGTGACAGAACTATAGTTAACACTTCAGATGCCGTGTCGGACAATGTCGACCGACACTAGCGGAGGAGGAAAAACATCAGCAGCCCATATCGGTCCACTGCTGGATTATAAGCCACCTCTACATAAGAAGGTTCACTGAATTAGAGCGACTCAAAAATCGCAGTATAAAAGGTTCAGGTTTATCAGAGAGCGCTGCTGCCCGGTCTCTGTCTAATGTGTAGTCCCTTAGTCGGGTAAACAACACCCATAGAAGAGCAGAGGTGGTGACAAATATATTCTACTCTGCTATCACTAAACGAGGATAAAAATATTGTGTAAAACAAATTCAATGTTTATTCTATATTTCTAAATAACCGAATAAAATGTTCTAAATCGTCGACTCCGTTCGGAAACACCAATATCTGTTTGCAAGTACGTAATAAAATTCAGATCTCGTAAAAAAGGCACCCCCGTACGAATATCCGAATTCGGAGTGTATAAAAAAATAATACAACCGACCAATGGGATCGCTTACAAACTTTTATTCGATACAAATCGGCCAATAGAGGCGAGGTTTTAAGACGTCGTTGTAGTAATAATGCTGTCTCTTTCTTACTTATAGGGTTTGTGTATTGCTGTTTCGCGGGTTCAGTGAATTTGTCTCAAGACTATGAGAATGGTTTCTCGCCGTCGCGCGTTTTTTCAACTCTTTTTTTTTATAGAAAGGGGTGGTTTTGAAAACGTATTTTACTTTAAAACGATACAATTATATGATTATGACGTTGTTCATTTCTTCTTTGATGTTTGTTTTAGAAGATTTATATGAATAATTGCGCAATTTTCGATCAAATTGGTTGTAATTTTTGCTGTATCTAATATTTGCGTTTTTGTTTCGAAGACCATACGGATGGTCGTAAATGTATGCAGAACCAAAGGTAGGCCAATTAAGCTAGCATCATAGCATTTTGCGTGATCTTAGACTACCTCACTTGGAGGAAAACGTAACAAAATTGGACTTTTTTTTAAGGGGGGAAAATCATCGAATGACTGCTCCCGCCTGGGTGAGGCGGGAGGGAGTGTCAGACTCTTACTGACTAAAAACCACCCCGTTCCTACTCCTGCCCGTCGAGCCGAAGCCCCGGTAACCCGTTAGGTTCTCCGCGACAACATAAATGCGCCCTGCAAAGCAAAGTTTCTTCTCGCACGGAGAAGATTTGAGCATTCATCACCATGCTTGCTCAATGTGGGTTGGCGATTTCCTCACTATGTTTTCCTTCACCGTTTGTCAGTGGTGTTTAGATAATCTTAGAAAGTAGGTACATATAACTCGGAAAAAGTCACATTGGTATTTGCCAATGGTAGGTTTTGAACAGTGTACTCCTGCATGAGAAGCGGGCGTCTTAATCCTCCGGACCACCACGACAATTGGACGAGTGGCCGCAAGCAATTAATTAATTGTTTTATTTTCAGGCCGGACAAGGCGCTTATGTTGGTATTTTGAAAATTCTTCGTAGGTATATAGACTTGAATTGTGCCCCGTATGTGACAGTAAGCCTATTCCTTTTTTATATTTGATGGGCCGTCGTTTGACCACTATCTCGCCTGGTGGTAAGCGATGATGCGGTCTACGATGAAGCACGTCGTCCCATAAGCAACCTATTCACTCGGGCCTTGAGGACATCCTTTTATGGAATAGAGAAATCTATTCCATGGCAGAAACTTTGGGAAAAATAAAGTACCTAAACATTGTCAGATAATTTGAGCAGAGGAGGTATTTTATGTAAATATGGCATCGAGCATTTCTTTATTGAAACAAAGAGTTTCCTTTTCTTGTATAGAAGCACTAATTCTATGGATTGTCAGTATGCATATGTGAGCACACTGTTGGACTTTAAGATTTTTATTTTTCTTTAATTTTAGCAAGTTATTAGTATAATGCGTCAAGCGTGTCTTTGCATTGTTCTTACATAATGCGTACAGTATTGAAATATGTATCAGAGACATTGTAGAACATACTTTTTAAAACGAGTAACGAAGGGAGTTTCTTGCTCGTTCTTCTCCATTCGAATCTACTTTTTGGAATGAGCACCTAGCTTCACCTAGTTTCACTGACGGACTGACTGACAGACTATTATTTATTTTGTATTTGTTGACGTTTCAAAAGTACCAAACTATGGTTTAATTGAAATAAATGCTTTGACTTTGAATAATCGGAACAAATTTTTATACGGCGCCCCGCCAAGATACGCTACGCCACTGCCAGTCACCTACATAAAAACATTGGTTTAAATAAAGAACACAACATAACCAAACAAACATCTAAATTGTCCAACTCACGAATCAAATGATCAACGACTCACTCAAAATTATCGACATACAGACTCATTTCCAAAAAAAAAACAGAAAGAAACCCATTATCATAACCCCACCCTCAACAAAAAAAAATGAGAATCAAAAATCCGTATAAAGTCATCTGAGTTGAAATTTTAAATACAACCGAAGTTGGGTCTAGTTGATTTGATTCAACCACACCGGGAGGGGTTGGAACCTATTAAACGGATAGCTTGGGGACGTGTTTAGATAATTGAAGGCGTTTATCGAATTAGAGGGCTACAGAGACTCTGGTTTCGTAATTTTGCGGTTACAGACACCTAAATATGTGAGATCTACTTTACATATTGCAGGATTTTTTGTATTTTTTTTGGGTCAAGCCCGCCACAACCTTCCAAAACCGCTACAACTCCTGTGCACCAGGATCTACAGTCGATACAACCGTGAAAACACCGGAAAACTGATGTCCGGTGCGTCTCAGGGACATGAATAACTGTCTTGGGTGCCCGCAACGAAGTGAATCAGAAGATATTATTATAGGAGAAGAGATGAACGATAGTTTCCACTTCCCTCAGTGAATTACTGGAGTGCAGACAAACTTTTGTAGTTTGTTTCAGAATATTTTTGTAAATGTCCGGTATATGGCAATAGGCTCACCCCCTATTACATGGGACTCATAACCTAAATAATGAAAAGTGGGTGTTACATTGTACAGTGGTATTAACTGCTGTAATATGCACCTCTGCCTATCCCTTCGGGGATAAAAGGCGTGATGTTATTTTTATCTTAGGAAGTACATAAAACTCGGAGAAAGTCATATTGCTACTTGCCGTTGGTAGATTTCGAAGCTGCGCCCTCATGCTTGAGAAGCGGGCGTCTTAACCTCCGGGCTACCACGACACATTAAATTGACATGCCATTAATAAGCTAATTTAAGTAGCACTTTTTAAAAAATATTAAAAATCACATAACCTTTCAATAATCGAAACCAAAAATAAGGTTACAATAATAAAAAAAACCCACTTATCCTCAACCAGAAGTTATCAAAAAAGGCATCGCTACACCAGCATAGACGCAAAATTCTCGATACTAAAATTCAAACGCTCCCCTCTAATTGTTTTAAATGGTTTCTAGGGGCGGGCCGGCTGTATATGACAGCCCCCTTGCTACCCTAAGGGGTAACAATTTTTTGTAACACCCTGTGTTTAACTCCCCCTAGGGGGCGCATTGTATCCTTGCGAAACTCCTTGGTAAGGTTTTAATGTTATGATTTTTCGAATTATAGGATTATATAATGGTATGTTTCGAAGATGACATTGTTTTGTACGAATAGTTATTTTGTTAAAGAGGTTTTGTTTTGTTTTTTGAATATAGGTTTGGAGTTGTGTGGTTTTTATGTTTACATACGTAAACACACACTACATTTTTTATACCCGAAAGGGTAGGCAGAGGTGCTCAATTACGGCATTTAATGCCACTGTACAACCACCCATGTTTCGCTGTTATGTTATGAGTCCCATGTATTAGGTTCAATTCGTGGCTTCTCGGGTTGGATTCCCGGGTCGAACAAAGTATTATTGGGTTTTTAAAAAATTTTCAGTGGTAGCACGAAGCCTGGATTTGTGTCCGGTATATGGCAATAGACTCACCCACATCAAACTCATTCTCATAACATAAATAGTAAAAAGTGAAACATAAATAGTGGGTGTTACATTGTACAGAGGTATTAAGTGCCGTAAAGTGCACCTCTGCCTATCCCTTTGGGGGTACAAGGCTGCCTATCCCTTTGATGTCATATTATATGCAAATGACTAACAAGTTTAATTTAAAATCAAGAAAACTTCGCGTAAACTTTGTTAAAACACAGTGAAAAAGTAAAATAAAAAAAAATCAAAATAAAATTATAATTTGCATGAAAAGATTGATGACTGTTGATGAAGCGAAAAAGGTATGTAGGAATCGTAGTAATTGGCGTTCCATAGTCTCTGCCTACCCCCATGGGAGACAGGCGTGAAGTTATGTATGTATGTCATTGTATGTATGTATTGACACGAACCTGACTATCCTTCAATCCGAGTTTCTCAGCGAGCTTCTTCCGATCCGGCTTGGAGATGTACTTCTGGACCTGGAACCTCTTCTCCAGACCCTTGCGTTGGAGGTCTGAGAAGACGGCACGACGCATCATGCCGCGACGGGGTTTGCCTGCAAAAGATGGCTATTTAAGAAGGGTGGTACGACTAACAGGGTAGTTTCCTAAATTTTATTTTAATGTCCGTTTGGTTGATTATTTTAAAACATTAGACACGCATTTTTTCTTTTCACACAAAATTAAATACTTTCATCGGTATATTAATTTGAAATATCGTGTGACGTCACAGCGTGCCACGTTTTGTAGCACGTTATGACGTAACAACCTCTCACTCCTAAACTTAGCACCATTTTATCTAAGTATTGCAACTTAATATGAGAAAATAAAAAAATACGTGTCTTATATTTTTTCATTACCTAACTGACGGACTAATTACACTTTTAATTTTGATACCCTGGAAACTACCAAATTGTGACTCGTCTAAAATTGGGTAGATGACTAATTTTTATTTTAATGTCCGTCTGGTAGATTATTTTAAAACATTACACACGTATTTTTTGTTTTCTTACAGAAACGAAATCTTTCGACGATATATTGATTTGAAAGGTCGCGTGACGTCACTTCTGACGGTCTGGGTGTCATGTGTATATGAACTTGTATGTTTGTAAACGCACCCACGACACAGGAGGAAAGCCTAATGTGGGGCAACGTTTAAAAAAATGGTTTCTACTCTCTCTGTAGACAAGCGCACTGTAGTGTTGCACAGACTAATATAGTTAGTACTAAATTTTTTTTAAGGGGGTAAAATCATCGTATGACTGCTCCCGCCTGGGTGAGGCGGGAGGGAGTGTCAGACTCTTACTGACTAAAAACCACCCCGTACCTTCTCCTGCACGTCGAGCCGGAGCCCCGGTAACCCGTTAGGTTCTCCGCGACAACTAGTACTAGATTGGACTGGTGTACTTAGACTACGAAATCCGATTACTGTAACTGTAAGTTTTGTTACTACCGATAGTAGAACAATTATAATGAAATCTAGGAGCTCACCTCTTGAACTATGTGCCCATGGAAAACCGCCGGGTAGTGGGAATACTTGAGTATGTGCTTGTGCTGGTCTCACTGTAACAAGAGGGATATGTTAGTCAAAGTCAAAGTCAAAATCATTTTATTTCAATTAAACCAAGAAGGCACTTTTGAACGTCAACATAAAAATTAAAAGTGAAGCTATTTGCTCATTCCAAGGTGTAGATTCCTATGGAGAAGAGAAACTTCATAGGTTACTCTTTTCCAATCAGGTTCACAATACAATTCTCTCGTTACATAGTTTTGATGGTTTTGTTGTTTGGATTGTGCGAGAACAATGTAACACCAAAATACAGTCAAAGAGATCGAAAAAATAATCTTAAAGGAGGTTAAAGTTAGGTTTTTTATACAACAGTAACATATTAGGATTTTTATACAACAGTAACATATTAGGATTTTGATACAATAGTAACATATTAGGATTTTTATACAACAGTAACATATTAGGATTTTTATGCAACAGTACTTAACATATTAGGAGTTTTATACAACAGTAACATATTGGGATTTTTATTTTATACAACAGAAATATGATAGCATTTGACAGCACGGTTGGCGCGGTGGCTAGGCGACTGGCTACATAATGGGGTGCAGTTTCACAATGACACCCAGTTATGCTTGAGGGTGCGAGTTCAAAACTACCAACGGCAAGTACCAATGTGACTTTTTCCGAGTTTTATGTACTTTCTAAGATTATTCAGATACCACTGACGGAAGGAAAACATCGTGAGGAAACCTGGGCTTATAATTACTATTTGTAAGTTTGAAATCGCCAACCCGCATAGAGCAAGCGAGGTGGTTAATGCTCAAACCCTCTCCGTGTGAGAAGAGGTTTTGCTTAGCAGTGGGCTCTTATAGGCTGTTGATGTATGTAGAATAAGAAATTAATGTCATATTTAACATAAAGAACTAGCGAAAAGCATATATAATAAGCATCTTTGTCAGCTATTTTAATATAATACCTCCTAGGTGCTCCCTCACCGGGAGTATTTGCGTGTAATGTAACGTTACAGATCTGAGCATTACATCAGTGAAGGAGGAGAACCGAGCATTACAATGCGCACCTTGTAATGATACAATGTGTAATATCTTGATACAACTTGTAACATCAATGCCCGCAGCCCGCCCGCTTCGTCTGACATCTTGCTATGAAATGCTCAAAGTCGAATCTATATATTTACTAGCTTTACCCGCGGCTTCGCTCGCGTCACAAAAGAATAAAAAGTAGCCTATGTGACATATACCGATACACACAGCGCCATCTATACCAATACTTTTGTTTTTCCTCGGGAATATTAATTTTTTCCCGGTTAAAAAGTACCCTATATTATTTTATCCGGACTTCTAACTTTACGTCTGCAAAAATTCAAAGCAATCGGTTGAGTAGTTACGGCGTGAAGGTGGAACAAACAAACAAACAAACTCACTTTCAGATTTATAATATTAGTAAGGATTCTACATTACACGTAAATGCTCGTTAGTCAGAAAGATATAATTGTAATGTAATGTTCATAGTCGAATCTAAAATGTTATATTAAACAATGCCCCGGTGAAGCAGCACCTTAACTTTTAGATTTATGTCTGAAATTCATTAAAAAATATTGCCAGCAAACGAAATGGTGCAAAGACGAGATCAAATCCCCCAAAACTGGAACATATTACAGACATTCTTAAGAACTACACAAAAAATATCTCATAAAACACTAATAAAGGTAATAAAAGTTAATAAATTCCCATTAAAATACGAGTAAAACCAGAAGCAAATATTGTATTATCCATAATTCCATTGTGTGTGTACCTTATAACAAATAAAATATAATCGAAATTTCAAAAAAAGAATCATACAATGGATGGATTATCCACGTCACATCAAGGTACCTCAAACCGATCAAACCGTTATCAACTCTATACTTTACAAATTAAAGTTGAAATTCAAATAAAGATATTTGACAGATTTGTGTAGTGTCATATGCAGGTATGTGAACAAAGTCTTTTTGCTCATACTAGGCTGAATGCGATCACTTCGTTTGCCATTTTTGCTGTTTATTGTAAAAAAAAAAATGTTTATTGGATTATGGTAGCGTAAAAGTTATTGCTCTTTTTATTATAATTGCCTTTGTAGTTGTGTGGTTGTCAATAGGACTGTTGAGCATACAAGGTTAAGTTGAATTCCTGAAGCCGGGTAATGAACAACTTATTAGGTTCTTTTAAAATTCATAGTAGCGTAACGAATGAAATATTCTATTAAAATCATATTAAATTGATTGACTGCACGATTAGTGCGGTGGCTGGGCAACCGGCTGCCGTGCAACGTGTCACGGGTTCGATTCCCGCACGGAACAACACTTTGTGTGATCCACAAATTGTTGTTTCGGGTCTGGGTGTCATTGTATATGTGTACTTGTATATTTGTAAACGCACCCACGACACAGGAGAAAATCCTAATGTGGGGCAACGTTTCTCAAAAAGAGAGAAAAATTCAATTCTATTACATGATGGTCCACCGGTGGACTAATGGACCTCCTCTACATAAGAGGGGTTTGCCATAATCTCCGCAGGCAGGCGGGTTGGAGATCGCAGTATAAAAGGTTCAGGTTTATCAGAGAGCGCTGCTGCCCGGTCTCTGTCTAATGTGTAGTCCGTTAGTCGGGTATACGACACCCGCGGGAAGAGTAGCGGTGGTGATAAATATATTCTATTGTAACATTACCACATGACTAGACTAAGGAGTTACTCCTTAGTTCATCCGTGGAGAACCTAACGGCCGTGGAGAACCTAACGGCCGCGGAGAACCTAACGGGTTACCGGGGCTCTGGCTCGAAGTGCAAGAGTAGGAACGGGGTGGTTTTTAGTCAGTAAGAGTCTGACACTCCCTCCCGCCTCACCCAGGCGGGAGAAGTCATTCAATGATTTCCCCCCTTAACAAAAAACTCCTTAGTTCAACTGCTACTATATACTATCATAGGCCACTATGATAGTATATAGTAGCAGTTGTTGTAGCAGTTAACACTACTAAAGGAAGATAAAGAACCAATCAAAACGCACCACAATTTAAACGTAACCAACTTCAATTCAAAATGTACGTTCGAAACAGGAGTTGCCCTTTAAAAAATAATGTTTATCTTATAGATTATACAACAATAGATTTGTTTTTCCATCCGTCAGTCAAATTGGGCGTGTCCGGCTTATTACCCAACAATGTTACCATTATAAAAATCTGTTGATGCAAGCAACAATGCGATCTTGGAGGTCGTTAAAAAAAGTTTGGCAACATTGTCTCTGATTCATAAAAAAGGTTGAGGATTTAAGTGTCTTTTTGTTTGTGGTTTTGGTAAGATGGTGTATTTTTTTCTTGGTTGAAGGTTGTGGGATTGTCACCTTTATACGTAGATAATGCCAAAAGTGTGTAAAAATGATCGTTGTACTTTTCGCTATACTTTAAATACAATTTCATTTTCAATTTTAATGCATAGGCCGGCGGGACCGGAGTGATACCACGGCCTCACAGAAGACCGACGTGAAACAACGTTGTGTTGTGTTTCGTCGTGTGAGTGAAGTTACCGGAGGCCCAATTACAGTTCGCACATACGGATTTCCGGATTTTACCTATAATTTTTTTATTGATTCGGACTCATAATCGATATCTGAGTTACCTCCTAGAAAATGACGCGGCTTCAAAACAACACCTTGTATATGTTAATAAAAGAATTTTGTATTTTGACATTATAATTTTGAATTATTACAATAAACACTTTATTTCTTACCTAAGTAAGGATGATGACAGTGAGCCAGAAGATGTTGTAGATGCTGATGCTGTACCGGTATCGGCCTGCTGGCGATAGGCTTCGCAATAGGCCAGGGACTACCCATTATCGGCTGGCGGTATTCTGGAATAGGACAAACGGGTTTTGATTAGAATAAGGAACAAAATTACAGTCTCGTTGTCGGAGTGGTCGCAAGTGTAACTGCCCGGCAAGGGGCCTTGGGTTCGAAGGGGACTATCCGATACTTCGTATAAAATAACCGGTAAAATTAAATATTATGTAGATGTATGTATGGTATTTAACATAACATCACGCCTTTTATCCCCGAGGCAGAGGTGCACATTATGCCACTGAACAATGTAACACCCAGTTTTCACTATTCATGTTATGAGTCCCATGTAATAGGGGGTGAGCCTATTGCCATATATCGGGCACAATTCCAGACTCCGTGCTACTATTGACCATTTTTTTTAAAACCCATCATAGGTAGTATATGTAACCTGAATAATTTGTATTTTTTATACTTAATTGGTCTACGTTTGACCACTATCTCGCCTGGTGGTAAGCGATGATGTGGTCTACGATGGAGCACGCCTACCTATGAGCAACCTGTTCACTGGGGACTTGAAGACACCCAAGTCATAATTTTCGGCAAACACCGGGATTCCGGCAAGGAATTCCATTCCTTTGCGGTTCGCATAAGGAAGCTTGAGGCAAAACGCTTCGTGCGAATGGGTGGAATGTCTACCATATAAGGGTGCCCTGCCGTTCGTCTGGTAGTACAGTGGTGAAATGAACTTGGGGGGAATAGGGTTGTCCAATTCCCACGCACACTCACCGAAATGTATCCGATAGAAGACCGAAAGGCTTGCTTTATTACTTACTTTATACTATATTAATGTCTATTTTACTATGGGCCTATGCCTGATATTAATAAATAAATAACAAAATGAAATCAATTGATTTTCAACAACCTTAACTGACGCTTAACAGTACAGGTAAGTGGTTAGTTTATCTCTAGATCAAGTCTTAATTAAGAGATGGTGGCCATTTAGAGTTACAAAAGACCCTTTTTACATTTGCTAGGGAGGAAAATCATCCAAAGACTTCATCCGATCATCCAAAGACTTGGGTTAGGTGAGAAAGAATGAAAAAAAGAAAGAATAAACTTTATTTCTCGCCAAAAACTGGTGACATGTACAGATAATTCGTTCTATAAGCAAGAACTGATGGATACATGTTCATGTCCAAAGTCCCACGAAATGGGACCAGTTCAGCATGTGCAAGACAGGGCCTTACGCTGGTATGCTGAGAGGGAGTGTCAGACTCTTACTGACTCTTACTGACTGAAAACTACCCCGTTCCTACTCCAGCTCTTCGAGCCGGACTGCCGACAACCCGTTAGGCCTTCAGCGGCTCCAAAAAAAGACCGTTAACTATATTAATTTGCCTACACTATAAAATCGAACTCAAGCGAGACCAAACAAGTGAATTATATAGAGAGAATGTCTATATACACACGAACAGACAGATCAATATAAAATAATCAAAGTTGAACAGCTCGGTAATGGGATAAAGACGTGATTACTATACAATGGTTAGGTGTAGGCTGTGGTACAAGTTATAGACTAGCAGCGGGTGTAAATCTATGTATTTTTTTATGGCTTTAGCCGGTATACGAGCAGACGGATCACCTGATTGTAAGCAATCGGCGTCACCCATGGACACCCGGAACACCAGAGACATTACAAGTGCGTTACCGGCCTTTTGGGGATTAGGAGTCTGAGGAACGTTGGGGATTCAGGGATTGGGGAGATTGGGGAAGGGGAGAGTAATTAGGCCTCTGGTAACCTCACTCACACGACGAAACACAACGCAAGCGTAGCTTGACGTCGGTTTTCTGTTCGGCCGTGGTATCACTCCGGTCGAGTCGGCCCATTCGTGCCGAAGCATGGCTCTCCCACACTTGAACATATTGTTTTTATGGGATTGACTTTGGATCTTGATGGTAATCATTCGGCGTCGCCTGGTAACTAGAAAAGTTACCTACAAATGTGTTGCTAGCGATTTGGGATGTAGCTGGGGACTCTGTATAAAGATTACAAAGAGAGAGAGGCTCTGTCTGAGTAAAAGACTAAAAATCAATTAGGTATTGTGTTTTTCGGCTTACGCACGTAAATATTTGACGACTAACTCGACTAGTTTCAAGCCATGCTAGAGGCTCATAATAATTATGTGAGTAAGCCGAAAAACGGAATAATTATTTTCGTATATCTCACGATAGTTATAATATAAAGATTAGAAATCGTCAATATTCAGTGGGAATCTATGTACTTTATTTGAATATATATTTAAGCACCTATTTTTCAACCTATGAAAACAACACGTACATAGTATGGGAAACGCTCCCTTGTGAAATCGCTACTGACTTTACTACATAGACATTTGCAATAATAATGATATCACACTAATATTATAAATGAGAATCTTTCTTTGTTTGGATGTTTGTCCGTCAATCACGCTGAAACTACTGAACGGATTTTTATAGAGACAGGGTATGGGCTGACTTAGATGATAGGATACTTTTTATCCCAATTAAACGCTCCCATGGTATAAAACAGGAATCACGCGGACAACAGCTAGCTCCCACGAGATTAAACAAGAAGTCGCGGGCAATAGCTAGCAACAAATATTTAGAGAGATTAACTAAGGGTTAAAACTGTATATAAATTTCCACTTATACTTACAGAATATTAAAACTAACCTTAGACAATTTAACCTACAGCAATTACGATACAAACCAGCCAACCTAAACCAACATTTAAACAATAAAATTGAACTCAATAAATAAATAATTAATTAATCGATACGCGCCCTCCTACAACTTGCACCACACTCCCTGATTTCTTGCCACCCCGCCGTGTCAAAGGCACACTTCTCCATTATATATTGCACGCCTTTGTGATATCATTAATCATTGCTATCCCTTCAGATTTAAACTATTATGTTTGTTTGTGTAAATACTTCATTATACTGAAGAGAATATAATTGTTTAAGGCCGTTATATAAGCCTCGCTACGTCCTTGTTGACTGGACATCTACACTACATGAGCTGCTGTTTACATGTGAACATTAGCTCATGACGATACCTAAGTACGTGTGTCGCCTGGACAGTCAACCTCGCTACATCCTTGTTGACTGGACATCTACACTACATAAGCTGCAGTTTACATGTGAACATTAGCTCATGACGATACCTAAGTACGTGTGTCGCATGCACAGTCAACCTCGCTACATCCTTGTTGACTGGACATCTACACTACATGAGCTGCAGTTTACATGTGAACATTAGCTCATGACGATGACGATACCTAAGTACGTGTGTCGCCTGGACAGTCAACGTCGCTACATCATTGTTCAATGTCTACACTGTATGAACTATACATAAAATAAACAGTAGTTAATAATAATAATAATAAATAATCTTTATTGTACACCAATTTGAGACAGTATATCAAGGAACAAATAAAGAAAATAGGGTACAAAGGCGGCCTTATCGCTAAAAGCGATATCTACCAGGCAACCTTTGGGTGGATAGAATACTATAGTAGGATATTAAATGAGGTAGTTATAGCTTGGCGTACTGAGGTGCTTATTTATATAATGTAAAAGAGAAAACATTAAAAAACAAATTTATTTACTTTTAATATAGAATTATATACATACATATACATACATACATACATACATACATACATACCTACATACATTCATACATATATACATATACTAATACATACATAAGTACATTTAGAAACAAGATACAATGACAGATAGGTGACACTAGGTGAAGAAACAACAATGAACTACAGTGTGGAGAGATAATGCTCCCTCACGCGTGCCTTGAACGTGACCAGTGACTTTGCTTGTTTTATGGAAGGGGGAAGTGCATTCCACAGTCGAATAGCTCGAACTGTAAACGATTTGTCGTAGGATTTACTCTCATGCTGGGGCATCTCAAGTCTCAGATCTCCCGACGACCGTACTGGTCTAAAATGTGTGTCATGGTAGAACTTGAAACGTTCTTTAAGGTAATATGGCGTAGTAGGATTAAACAGTATATTGTAGAGAAGGGATAGGATATGAGTATTCCGGCGAAGGCGGATCGGCAGCCACTTGAGTTTAGCACGGTATTCGGAAACGTGGTCATATTTTCGTAAGCCAAATATAAACCTTATACAGAAATTTTGGAGTCGCTCAAGTTTATCTAACTGCGCTTCAGTAAGGTCTGGATAGCTGACGTCGGCATAATCAAGAATGGGAAGGAGAAGTGATTGAGCAAGCGCAATTTTGGTAGCGGTTGGTAGAAAGTTTCGAAGTCTACGTAAAGACTTGGCTGACGCAAATATTTTCCGGCTGACCTGCCCCAGTTGCGGTCCCCAAGAAAAGTCTCGATCTATGGTAATGCCTAGATCTTTCACTGAGTCGCTGTATGGTATTATGGTACCGTAAAAACAATAGGTGGAATCTGCGGCCATGTAATTTTGCAACGTAACCGAGGGCTACGACTACAATGACCTGGGTCTTCGCAGGGTTAACCTTTAAACCGTAAGCCGCGCTCCATTCTGAGATTCGAGCTAATCGGTATTCACCATTTTTACCGCCTCGGTGAATTCACCAGGAGGTGCCTGAGAGTAAATTTGCAGATCGTCAGCATACAAGTGGTAGGAAGAAAGAAGTTCATCAGAGATAGAAATTATAGCAAAGAGTAGAGGAGAAAGAACGCCCCCCTGCGGTACGCCAGCAGTCGTATCAGACCAGGAGGAGTATGAACCTTCAATGGCGACACGCTGCCGGCGGCCAGACAGGTAACTACGAAAGAAATCATCACAGCCGGCGATATGTTAAGAGAGCCCAGTATTCCAAGTAAGATATCGAAATCAACGGTGTTGAATGCATGCTAAAATCTAGCAAGGTAGCAGAGTTAGATTGCCGTTTTCGATACCCGATCGTATGTCGTCTGTGATGTTGACAAGTGCTGTAGTGGTACTATGCCCCGGACGGAACCCTGATTGGTAAGGATTGAGGAGACTGTGTTTGGTGAGGAAAGCACTTAGCTGGTT